GAAAGAAAGGAAAGAGAGAAGAAGAGAAGAAAGAGGGTAAAGAGGGTAAGAGAGTTAGGCCCGCCTCTAGGTGCAAGCCTAACATTTAGACTTGAGAAAGAGAAAGAGGAGAGCGAGAGAGAGAAAGAGGAGAGCAAGAGAGAAGAGAGAAGGAGCAAAGAAAGAAGAGAAACGAGAGAATGAAAAGAGGGTAAGAGAGCTGGGCCCACCTCTAGGCCTAAGCCTGGAGTTCGAACATGAGAGGGAGAGGAAAAAGAGAAGAGAGGGGAAGAAGAGAAAAGAAAGAAGAGTAGAAGAGAAGAGAGAAGAAGATAAGAGAGAGAGTGAAAAGAGGGTAAGAGAGCTAGGCCCCCCTTTAGGTGTGGGCCTAGCATTTAGACTTGAGAGAAAAAATGAGGATAGCAAGAGACAAGAGAGAAGGAGCAAAGAGAATAAGAGAAGTGAGAGAGTGAAAAGAGGGTAAGAGAGTTGGGCCCGCCTCTAAGCACGGGCCCGGAGTTCGAACATGAGAGGGAGAGGAAAAAGAGAAGAGGGGGGAAGAAGATAAAAGAGAGAAGAATGAGAGAGTAGAAGAGAAGAGAGAGAAAGGAAAGAAAGAAGAAGAGAAGAGAAGAGAGAGAGTAAAAAGAGGGTAAAATAGCTGGGCCCACCTCTAAGTGTGGACCTAGCACTTAGACTTGAGAGAGAGAAAGAGGAGAGCAAAAGAGAAGAGAGAAGGAGCAAAGAGAGAGGAATAACTAAGCCCACCTCTAGGTGTGGGCCCAGAACTCAGAACTGAGAGAGACAAAGGATAAAGAGAAGAAAAGAAGCGAGAGAGTGAAAAGAGGGTAAGAGAGTTGGGCCTACCTTTAGGTGTAGGCCTAGCACTTAGACTTGAAAGTCAGAGAGAAAAAAGAGAAGAAGAGTTGGGCCCACCTCTAGGTGCAGGCCTAGAAGTTGGACATGGGGGAGAGAGAAAAGAGATAAAGAAGGGAGAAAGCGAGGAAGGGGGAGCAGAAGAAAGGAAGACAGAAACCAAGCCCGTGCCTAGGTGCGGGCTGTTACTTTAGGCAAGAGCGAGGGAGTGAGTGAGGGAAGAGAGAGAGAGAGAAAGAAAGAAGAGAGAGAAATTGGGTCTGTGCCTAAGTACGAGCTCATGATTTTGGATGAGAGAGAGAGAAGAGAGAGAAATTGAGACCACGCAAAAGCGTGGGCCCGTGATTTTGGACGAGAGAGAGAGAGGGGAGAGGAAGAGAGAGAGAAAGAAAAGTAAAGGTCGCACCTGAGGTTTGAAGTGAGAAGTTCTAAGTCGAAAATATGAACTTCTGAGTATGAAGTGGGGAGTTCTAGAGGGAGTCCTTGAGGGGTAAAAGTTTTCTCTCTCCTCTCCTAGGGATGAAGAAGATAGAATCAAAAAATACCAACCAAGGGGAAACCAATGTATTTAATCAATACTTTGAACTTGCTTCAAGCTCACCTCTAATGTTTTTGAACTTTTTGAACTTAGGGTTACAAATGAGCACATGACTCTTAAATAACATCCCCTTGAAACAAAAGTGTATGCTAAAAAGTAAACCAAATTGTCAAAAATTACATATTAAATGATTTAAAATTAAATCCCGTTTTTGGGGCAAAATGGTCATTTTGCCCCTACCCACAATCTTGAATTGACGAGATGGTCCCCAAAAAGGTACCATGGGCTATGGTGATCGTTCGAGACTCATTTCAGGCTCTTCTGGCAACCTCCTAGCAAAAATAATAATATAAAAGTGACGGTCTCTGCGAGACAATCGTTTGACATATAATTCGATCCTTGAATCGAGGTCTTTGACCCTTGCTAAAATCCGACGAAAGTTGGAAATTTTGCAATCTTGAGTGTTTAATCTCATTCATTTCTTGATGTTTTAGGTCGATCTTTTTGTCAGAGAAGGATGGGGACAACACCATGGTCGTTTTATGATAAGATGGCTCGATTTGGTTGCCGAATCATCACTTTTTGAATTTGGAAAGTTGTTGGAATATGGATTCCGGCGCAGGAAAATTTCCATTTTTGCAACCTCAAAATACAACACTTCTGGTATTTTATAACATGTGACGTTTACTTTTGATCGAAGCCCTCGACATTGTCGTCGCAACAAACATGTTTCCAAGACGATCCGTAGTCGGGGCTTCGTGATATGATAATTTGATCAAAGGGATCTTCTTCTTGCAAAAATCTACAACACATGAGTTTTCTCGAGCAACTTTTCTCTAGGATTTTTTCTGTCTCAAGCTATGCCATTTATCAAAACGTGCGCGTTGACGAGACGAAGATCTTCCTAAATTTTGGGCTTTATTGGGCTTAAAATAGAGAAGTTACGGCCTTCGTAAGATGATCCTAAAATCATAAGGCACAATTTCCATAAATGAAAACTGGTTTACCGAAGGTGCACTAAAATAGTGTATAACCTATCCTTTTGGGTAAGTTGGCCCTAGAATGGTCCAAAAGTGTCCGAATGATCTGAAATTTGATGTCTAGGGATTTTCGGACCTTCTGAATCCAATAAAAGCGATCTGGTACTCATCTAATACTCTGATGATAGGGTTATAGTTATGAGGTGCTTTTTCAGCATGTGAGAGCTGAATTTGAAAATTGGCTTTTCATCTGATCCATCTAAACTTACTCAGATCGCAACGAAACTTGGCGGGTGTTCTTAGGGAGTCAAATGTCACTCCCACATGCCTTTTGGGACCAATCCGACACCCTTCAAAAATTCACTTCAGATCAGGGTTTATTTTATCAGTGCTTTCGTAGTCCGCATGCGTTTTGGTACTTGCAGGTCTAAGTCGTAACTAGCTTCCTCCTTATTTGCACCGGGGATATAAGTGTCGAAAAATACCCTATAAAAATGACGAGTTCCAGACATATTATATTCTTTATATCACATCAGGAACATATCTTTACTAATATCTTCAAGAATTACACCCATTGAGCTTGCATATCTTATCCATTGTCTATTAAGACATCAATCTGGCATCGGTTAAACACTTATCTTCTGATCATGCTCTCAATTCATTGGTGCACTTACCAAAATGTATTCAGTCTCATATTATAACTAAAAATACACCCAACAACTGGTTCCAAGTTACTCGACTGTCCATAACAAGGTTCCAAGGCCGATTTGTGCAATCGAACACTTGTGCGGTCGATGGTGAAGCCTCTAGTACCTGGTTTTACATTTAATAAAACGCAAGGAAAATTTATCTTGGCATGCTTTTCCATAAACTATATATCTTTGGGTACTTTTTATCATAATAATTACATGGTACTGACGATCTTGCAATCAAATGAAATTTCATATACATGATATATGTATGCTTTATTATTCAACAAAAAATAAAAAAATATATAAAGAGACTATTTACTTTTAGTACAAAGAGATCACAATCACTTTTGTTTATTAAATTTCAAATCTAGTGGTTGTGAATATATCACCAACTACACTCAAAGTTTATAAAAAAAATTTCTTGAACTTTGTGTCACACCCCAAGCCATTCAAATAGATGGATAATTTTGTTCTTTCATCTATGCTAGGTATATATGTGTCTAATTATCTTTGACATTGATCTTCTGCCCAATGAAGAATAGGAAGCATAATTAATATGCTACTACTTTTATTTTGCTGTGTTTACATTCAATCATTGCGAACTCTGTTGAGTATAACAATATAGAAATTACGTTCATTGATTTGTTACAATTGTTTTTGAGTACCTGTCTATGTTGCTTAACCTTCATTGAGTTTTTGGAGTTTCTCTTACGAATATATGTGGATCGAACCATCGAACTCCTTTACTATTCTTGTGGAAACTTTTGAAGCTCAGGGAGGCAGATGCAAGATTTTGTAAGCACAGGTCGTCTCTCTCTCTCTCTCTCTCTCTCTCTCTCTCTCTCACAGATAACATGTACGAACTCCTTAAGGCGTGCTATTGATCCATTTGTTACATTGTTTGCAGAGCAATTATTTACCATGTTAATTGTTGTTTCCAGGTTCCTTAGGGTACTTCAGAGGGAATTACTCAGTGGCTTTGAGCTGTATTTACTGTTTTTTGTGCTATGATTATTTTTATTGTTAAGTTTTGAGTTGAGGATAACAGAATCATAGAACTAATGTTTGGTTATGCAAGCATTGTCTACAAGATGCTTGATTTATTTTTTCTTAAGAAATACATGATGTAGGATATATAAATATGCATGGTCGGTGATAACTATATTCTGGTCGGGTTTCTTGTATGTAGCCATTTTGATTCGCTAGCTTACAGTATCTCCTTAGATTTGAGGTTGTTTGTCTAATTGAATTGCAATAAATAGCATGATCTATTTGATGGCATCAATCTAAGCTACTTCATATGTTTTTATTGCGAAAATTTTGGAATTTTCATTCATCAATGCTTGTTATAATGCAGGTCCAGCAGATGCTCTCTTATTTGGGGAGATTTTGAGCAATGTAAGGAGTGGTATGCAACTCAAAGTTGGGGGCAGCAAAAGCTAGAAAGTCGAGAATTCTATTGAAGGTGATTTTTATTCTTGGTTGAATGTACAGCTTAAGGTTTTTGTGAGGTTGCAAATGGGGCCTCTAATCACCCACTGGTTGAATGTACAGGCTTAAGGCTTTTGTGAGGTTGGCCTCCAATCACCCACTGGTTGAATGGGGCCTCTAGTTACCCACTGATTGAATGTACAGGCTTGAGGCTTTTGTGAGGTTGCAAATGGGGTCTCTAATCATGGAATATACATTGTACAAGCTTGAGGCTTTTGTGAGGATGCAAATGCGGTCTCGAATCACCCACTGAATATACATTGTGAATGTAAAAACCAATGGAAGTCATTGTTGGGTGTTTTTATTAAGTGAAACTTGCACAGGCTTGAGGCTTTTGTAAGGTTGAGGTTGCAAATGGGGTCTCAAATCACCCACGGAATATATATTGTGAATGTAAAAACAATGGGAGTGATTGTTGGGTGTTTTTATTACGTGAAACTCGTGTGATAGGAGGTATATCTTATTGATATAATAATTTTATATACATGAGAAAAAAAATCACTATTACATTCTTCTAAAGAGCTAGAAATCCCATTCACTAGAATTTGATAGAATATCACTGTCCATGTTTTCACGGTGAGATGAATCATGTCAATTTTCAGTCTCATGGGCTGCCATTTCCACATCAATATCCTTTGGATGTAAAGTTCCTCATTCCAGTACCTAGAGCTCATGCCTATATTTAGATGCTCCACTTATAACATCAAAGGTAACAAAACGACTGTCCTATACCATCCCATCTAAATGACATGAGACAACATTGCCAATAGAAATACTGCTCCTATCATCTCCTTCCCTCTTTTCAATGAGAGTGTGAATTGCTTGCAACTCTATTTTTGGGTCGAATTCTTCACTCGTCAATTCTCTTACTTACTGATGCCCAAGCCTTCCTTTTCAGTGGCTTTGAAAAAGGGTGCAAACCCATCCTGCACTTGTAATGGCGTTGTAGACATTAACATGAAATCTTCAGAATTCGGTTTTTGAAAGGCAAAAATCAAGTTTACAAATACATCCTTTACAGAAACAGTCCTGTAAAGTGGTTGTCTTAACTAATTTACGAGACCAAATAAATCTCCACAAAAATTGATAACAGTTTTTGACAAATGTTTAAAATCTCAGTTCAGTAATGGTTATAAACATGCACCTAGTGAAGGGAAAAGAAAAAGAAAGAACAGAAAAGATTTCAGCAGACATTAGGCAAAAAAACAGTCAGAATTTCCACCAATAATTGGCTATTTCAGCAGACATTAGGCAAAAAAACAGTCAGAATTTCCACCAATAATTGGCTATCTAGTAACTAGAATAGGGTTGTACCTTAAATCAATCAGTCTCCAGTTGGAGCCCATAGAACATTCAGCTGAAATAAGCTAAAATGTTAAATTTATGACATGAAGTTAGATAAAATGCCTTTGTTGCAGTAACCAAAAAAATGTTCCCTTTGACACAAAATGAAGGATTGGTGCATTTCAACACATCCTTGATATGCCGCTTTGGCCTACCGTTTTCTCTAATTCGAAGGAAGAAGCTTTTGACATATCTTCCTCAGATTGATTTCTTCAGTCTTTCATTTCTTTTAAACAAATTTTCTACTTTAGATATTTTCAATAAATTCTTAAAAGAATATCACTTATTTAACCAGTAAAAACAACAGAAGGTATTCTGGAAATCAGTGTTACATGAACATATGCAATTAGTTTTGAGAGATCATCCATTACACTTCCAAATTAACGGATATAAACTATAATTCCCAATAAACTGGCATAAACCCTAACTATCGAATGAAATCATCAGCAATAAACAAAACTGATATTTTGCCAATTCTCTCAAATAAATACAAATTCAGATTAAGCATAGCCTAATACAGTTTCTGAAAGCCCCCGTGCATAGCTTATAGTTTATCTACTCCAAGAAACCCTAATTTCCATAAATAAACACCCAGCGAGATTCTGAGAAAATTGTAACTCCAATGAATTCACTAAATAGAAGCACCACATATCTAAAAAGTAAAAAAACGAGAAACTAGTAATCTGAGATAAACTGAATTATCCAAATGAAGAACACTACAGTTCGATAAAGATAGAGAGAGTCAACATGTTTCAGAGAGATGTTGCTTTGTAAAATGAACCAAATCCTAATTAACAATAGAAGAGTACTTTTTTCCATTGGCAACCACGTTAATTAAATTAGAGAGAGAAGAGATAGGTAGATAGATAGATAGATAGGGGTTTTAATTTCAGTAGAGAGAGAGATATTCATGTAAGTTTACCAAAACAAAAGCCTCAATTCGAGTAAAAAAGAAAAGAGACTAACAAGTTTCGCTCACAGATATTACACCATGTATCCATGCGAATTAAACCAGTATATCTGATACCAGAATCTAATAAAGGAAATGGATCTTGTAGTACCTGACAAACTCTGGTTTGAGAGAATATTCAAGGAGCTCGTAAAGTGACTCGTATCCATGGACAGAACCAGGTCCATTAAGATTTTTTTTTCGATTTTATCGCCATTAGAGCTCTTCTCTTTCTACTTTCTTAGAGAGCTCCACCATCGACGTTACCTTTTGGAGGGTTAGAGAGTTGAGAGGTTTGCAGGGGTCTGGGCTTGTTGAGAGAAAGGGTCATCGATCAGGTGGGTTAGACAGAACTTTGGGTTTGAAGAGAGAGAGAGAGGCGGCCATCGTTTTGAGAAGGCTAATTTTGTGAGCACCTTATTTAAAAGGTCAATGGTATACTTTCCCCGTCTAAAAAACCTATTTTTAAGCATTTGTCTCTCTCATTCTCTCTGTGAATGAAACAAGAGTAATGATCGTATGACACCTTCCCACATTTATCCACCGAAACCCGAAAGATTTTTAAAAAAGTTAAATCATATTCATATAATAATTTTTTTAGATATCTGATTCAAATTTAATAGTAATCCTTTGAAGTTCTACCAACGTGGATGTAAGAGAGTTTCGTAGGATCATTACTTATAAAACAAACTATTCATTTGGTTTATTATTTCTCTAAACAACAAATCCATTTTTCTCCACTTTTACATTCTCTCTTTAAAATTCAACTATTTCCTCGCCTACTCTCCCATTCTCTTATAAATTAAATTCAAATAAGAAAAAACCCATTCTCTTATAAATTAAATTCAAATAAGAAAAAGGGAGAAGACTCAAATCAAATAAGAAAAAGAGAGAAGACTCAAAAAAGAGAAGAGAAATCAAAGATGAGAGAAAAATCACATTCTTGGTGTTTCAAGATATAATTTCCTCCTCTTTGGTTTCATGCTCTTCCTCTTTTATAATTTCAGTTTTAGAGAAAGTCAACGAGATGATACACAAATAGACAATATTTTTAAAGAAAGAATGTAAAAGGCGGGAGGATGGGTGATTTTTTAGAGATAATATGCAGAAAGAAAAAAAAGGGGTGGATTTTTAAGAAAATGAGATGAAAGAATGACTCGCGAGATCTAACCAGAGTATATAAAAAAAATTTTCTTTTTAAATTTTTTTTTCTGTTCTTCACGGCCTAGATCAATCACAAGTAGTCTTTTTATAATATAATAACTTCAAATAAAATAAAATAAAATAATACAATAGGATCTCAAGAACTTGAAATCATTCAAAAACATTTATTTCAATACATAGTCCATGCTTGGGAATAAAAGATATAATAAATAAATATGCAAGAAACAAAAGAGGTTACCAGAGATTCCCACAATTGGGCTTCTTACACCGAGTCTCCTCTTTCCGATGGTGCTCAGGATTTTTTATCTGTTTCTTGATTTCTCATTCTTATAGAAAACCCAATCAATGCATAATTCAAGCCCTTTGGCTTGATGCCTATGAGAGAGAAATGAAAGAGAGAATGGAGAAAACTATTAGCTAATGGATGATTCTTTTACTGTCCAAATAATCACAACCCAATATAGCATCTTTAGAACCCCACAAGAGAGAGAGATTAACATAATCTAGGCGTGCCACCCAATATAGAGAGAGATAGAGGGTTAGGTTGGGGCATAACCCCTTAGGCTAGCTAGGGTTTGAGATAGAGAGAGGTAGGCTAGATGGGCCGTGCCCCTTAGGTTAGCTTGCGAGAGAGATATCTTATCTTAAGGTGGGGCGTGCCCGTAGAGAGAGACTTAAAGAGATCTTATTCTTAGAGAGAGAAGAGAGATAAAAGAGGTAGGGATTATGGGAGAGGAATGATCATTTTTATAGATTTTTCATACATTAAAGTTTCTCACAAATCGTAGGAGCAAATCTTGATCATTGATCTAATGAGATTTGTGGGGTGAGAGATGTGAGTCATCCATTTTTTAGATCCACCATCACGATACTAAAGAAAGTACTAGAACATTATCCTCCTCTTCCTAGACCTACTCCCATCAAATAAGTTAAATAAGGAAAATATTTCTTTACTTTCTCTAATAGTAGATATTCATTCCTTATTTATCAATCAAATCGTATTGATTCTCAAGACTTTCTAAAACCATATATTTCATTCATTTATTGCAACTGGGCTTCTCTCCACAAAAGGAAAGCCAACTACCATGAAATGTCTCTCACAATATTTTAGCAAGTGGGCAACTCTAAATGGGTGGGGCATACCACCCATTGTGGTCTCCCATGGGCCCCACCCAATCCAACAAAGTTATTAAATGGGCTCGTGTGTAATGGTAGGTCCCACATATTTTTAGAATAATAAAATTTAAATTTTTTGGATTTAAATCTTCTTAATTTATTTAAGACTTTAGAAAATGAATTTTTCGTAATTTATAAATCCAAATGACAAAATTAAAAAATTAAAAATTTCATAAAAATTCAAATAAGCATTCTAAAAACCAAATAACATAAAATTAATTAAATTAAATTAATTTTGATAGGAATCGGATCCGAATAGGTCTAGAATTTAATCAACGCACATGAGCACTCCATCTTCAACTGTGGACCACAATCCACATTAGCTTTCTCAAACTGACCCAGCAGTTCCATAGCCCATAGTTCATTGCAGGGGCTCATGATTGAAAAACCAAAGTGAATCAATTGGCTAGGGGATGTAATCCCAGTATATGGATTTCAGGTTCTCCCCTAGAGACAAACATGATCTGTTAGACCATAATGTAACCATGACTTTATGATCTATAGAGGTAATCTCTCACATACGTACATGTTTCACCCTCAATTGTGGATTACTATCTCAGTACGGCTATCTATATACATGTCGTATGATGATATAACGATGATGTTTTAGTCATGTCTCTATAAACTATTCATCACACACAAGGGTCATCCAGTCCCTTAGCTCTCATTCGGGTATACTCTGACCTCATCAAGGGCTAACCCACTAAACAATCCTCGGTTATATCTCTATGCCCAGGTACTTTGGGTTTTTCCAACTCGACTGGCATAGCACGTAAAGCCTAGTTCGAGTATTTGTAAATTACAATTGCCTATAATAGTCCACAAGATGACCACACTCCCACTGAGTTTATGTTTCACTATACATATTGCTCATACAAACTCTCATAAAAGCCTTTAAAGGCCATATAAGCCCAACATAAGAGAGGGAAAAATGATGTGTTAAGTCTTTAAAGAGAGAATATGAGAGGATCGGAAGAAACCATAAAAAAATATATCATTAAGAAAAATCAAACCATGGGAAAAAGAGTAAGGGATGAGGAGAAACAAAAAGTTGAACATCCTTTTTTTTAAAACAGATGCAAATTGATCCATGTGCCCCTCCATAAAAAGTGGAGAGCTAAAGTCAAAACAAAATATCTTCAGATCTAATTTCTTAAAAAAAAATACTTCTCCTAGAAAAAAACCCTTATTATTACCAAGTTAATGGAAAACACTCTAAAAGGTACATGCTACTTAGGGTAAAACATTATGCAATATACATTAAAGAACTACAATTTTGAGGATCTAACCTTCTCAACTTAGTATCAACCTCCAAATATCAATTTTAAATGAAAAATATTAATGTCCTTTACCTCAAAGCATAAATATACAATATAATCTTTTAGGACCATATCAACACTTAGAACGAAAGCATTAAACAGAGATGAAGTCACCAAATGCCATCCTATTGTAATGTTTTATCCAACTTACCCATATATTTAAATTGAATGACCATATAATCCTTTGAGCTTATAAAATATTATTAACAAAATATTATGTTAATTTTATAATTTTTGAAAAGAAGCACTTTATAGAATATAAATTGGAATTAGACCATGAAACATTAAATCTATTTTGAAGGTTACCTAAAGGCATCAAATTTTCATATAAAAGGTTATATTTTCTGAAAAATCATATGAAAATAATTTTATTTTATGAGGATAATTTTAAAGTATCAACTTCTTAACTTTTTGATTGATAAATCTATTAGTTAACTATTAATTACGTTAAAATTTGAAATATACCAACTTATTTAATTAAATTTAAAAAAAAAAAAAACACTAATGTTAGTATCGTTCTATTTTAGCAGTATTCAAATAGTTCTCCAAAAAATTTCTAAATTTATGGGTAGATCCCTTCCTTAATGCATCAAAATTGCATTTACAAGATACATTTTTAAAAAATATAAAGATAAATACCAAGAAAGAGAGAGAGGGAGAAAGAGAGTGTCCAAAACAAAGGAAGTTCATGGGAAAAATTCAACGATACATGCAGTACACTTTGTACACACCCATCGAAATTCTAGCTAACGGAACTCCTAAAAATCTTGATTCTGAGCCTAAATGATCGCACAAAGCTTAATAGACCATAGGTAACTTAGACCCAATATAATTACTCTAAAATTGCCCAAAACCTATCCCAATTTGAAGTAGAGCCCGAGATCTTTCCCGGGGTCTAAGAATCATCTGAATCAGACCTACGGATAAAAAGATCTAATAAATGACAATTTAGTAGCTTGATGATGCAGTAAACATGTTTGATGATGCAATGCATTTTATGATGAAGTAAATGTGTTTTATTTAATAAGATAAAGGCTAAAGCTTCAGGATAAATACAAGAAATTTCGAAAAAATTCTAAAAAATCAAGAAAACTTGGCAATTCAATCCAATAAATACCTCCTCTATAACAAAAATGAAAAAATTAGAACAATAGCTTAAAAATGCCCAAAAATAGGAAAAACCCTTAGAAAATTCCTAAAAAATTAGAAAAGCCCCCAAACATCAAAGAAAATCTTATAATTCATATTCAACATTTGGATATCCAAAAAGCCTTAGAAAACTCAGGGAAATTGTTTTCCAATCCAAAAAAACATACCAAGAAAAGCCTAAGTAGACCTGACCTAAAATCCTTAGCTTTTCTCCTGTGCCTTAGGAACCCTAGATCTAAGTCAAATAACACATTCAAAAAATGAGATCGTGGCGAAGAACAGCCTGATCGAAGCTCGAAACTGCAAATTTCGAGTCCCAAGAGGTAAGTATATCTTTTTTGGGTTGATTTAATTTGTTTTTCTTCATTTAATTCTTTGTTTTATTTTATTTTTCTGAAAATTAATTTTTAATTATTAAATTTAATTAAATTTAGAATATTTTTTTAAGTTAAAATACAGATTTGAAGCTAGCGCTGCCAGTAGACTCAGAAAAAGACTGGATGTATAGATCTCGGATTTTTCTGAGCCCAATAATTCAAACGACCCCACTCTCGTTACCTTTTCAAAACTAACTCAGTTTTTGCTAAGATTTGAGCATATCTCATCTCAGAAATTGGCACAAATCGAAGCATAAATAGTCTGACGCCCATCGTGGTGCACCTTGAGCTTTAA